GGTTACCGCGAAACTTGTCTTTTCCTACCCTATCTTTTCGGTGCGCCTGTTACCCAGTTCATCCCTTCTAGACGACCATTAGATCTCTCCGTCATACTAATACTTTTACTCACATTCCAGCTTATTCTTGTAAGACCGCTTTGAAAGGTGGTAGCAATAATGGCAAGTGAGCACCAATGGTGGCAAGGCTTATAACAGAAGAATACTGCGACGTTTACTAATTTCGTTGCTAACAATCTCGTGCAAAGAGTGTCCGGCGCAATATCCTTGGACACGTAGAGTTCGGTTTAGATTAAAAAAAAAAAAATAGGTTTAGTTAACCCATTGGTCGTTAACCCATTCATCACCTATTTAATCACGTTTCGTTTAAGGTTAATTACTATAGGAAGTTTTACCTTTATTATTTGATAAATAAACTATTAAAAACACTCTTTCTTCTTTAAATTAAAAGTTGAATACCGGAATTCAAGTAACTGCGTTATAAAGGGATTAAGTATGACTGTATGTTCTTCACCACCATACTTTTCCACAATATGTTCCTTCGTCTGAAAAAAAATAAAATATATTATTGCACGTTAAAATAAAGTTATACAGTGGTACAAATTTTTAAGATAAAAAGAGTAAAGTCATGTAGCACTAGTAGAGGCACTGTTTATGAGAGAAAATCCCAATGGCTAATATGTTCGTTATTATATTTTTTGGATCTCATAAGGTTAGTAGGAGGTTTTTCAAAACAATCTCCAAAAGCCGCTACGTTGTGAATGATTAAACTAAATTGACCTCCGATTCTTACACTTGATTTGAACTGTTCCTTCTTTTTCTCGTATTCTTTTTGTAATAGCTCCAGAGTAGGCTCAGCCAATAAATGAACATCGACCCCCTTACCATGAGCCTCCCATGCGAGATATTTTCGCATCAGGATCTAATTTAATAAACAGTTTCTGGCAATGTATATAGGAATAGAAGTTTCGGAGGTTTCTACTAACCATTCTTTAATTTTTCGGCTTTTAATTGCCGTTTAGCTTCTTCCACCTTCTCATATTCTTCTATAATTTCGCGATGATTGGCGGGATCGTAACTACTCCAACGATCTCTTTTCTCATCATAATTTACGGCTTCATCTTGCACAATATGTTCATCGTGAACGACTAAAGAATTCGCATAGTCTCTCCAAGCAATCCTTACGTTTATGATATTTGCCACTGCATTGCTCTTATAGGTGACAATAAAAAGTAATCAAACGAAGGTAAAGGCTTTGTCTTGTACTCTATAAAGACATTTCCGTTTCTTGGCAAATATTACTTACCGTATTATAGCGTAAAAGGAAAGTATTGTATATTATACAACCATACTATCTAATCATTGACATTGTTAGTACAATATCGATAAGAAATCAATAGCACTTGCTATCACAAAACAGCAAAGCAAAAGAGTTATACCGATTTTATATTAAAAATAGGAGAAAAACACAGTTATGCCGCCATGTTGGGTTGATAGCGTAGCAATATTTTGCTGTTGCGATTGTTGTTGCTGCTGCTGCTATCAAGTCGGTATTCGCGGGTTCGGTTCTCAGGGCGATGTGATCATACTTGGTCGTGGCCATGGCGAGTGGTCAGTGGGTAAAGGGATAACACATACATACACACTTACTAGTCTGCCGTTGTTTCCCACTATCTCTTTCTGTTTTCTCCGTCACAGAGTTGTTAGCTTAGATTGTCTACGTTTTATATTAAAAACTTCGCCTTGAACTAAGTATAACATCATGTTTCATGGCGATTGCAAAGGATTGACTGCCTACTTATTTATCTCGTTATATAATTTTCTTATAATCTTTCTATACATATATGCATATAATGCAATAAGCCGATGTTACGGCTACGGTACGCTAAGCGCTTTTCACTCACTATTATTACGCAAACTCTCTCTCACTCTCTCGCTCTCTCTTTCTCTCTCCCCCTCTCTCCCTCTCTCTCTCTGCCCTCTATCTAAACAGGTTTGTTTGTGTTTTGTTTGATTCTATTTTAGTTTTTAGCGTTATAGGCATTATCTAGTATATTAAGACATTGTTCTTAATTAGCGTTTATTTTAACTTAATAGTAGATGGCTATAAATTAACACTTTACAGTTGAAATAACTGCTCGTATATCGTTTAGAAAGAGTGACGTATATGGATATTAGAAAGTCACGTTCGCGATGAATACAATATTATATTAGTTTGGGGAAAAAGAAATCCATTATTTTTATATGAACTT